CCTAAACGTTGCTTCAATTAAACTCCCGTGTCAGGTTTTGAAACTATAATAATAATTATTTTTATCTATATATTGATTTGAGTCAACACATATTGATCTTCTTAACCCATAACCTGTATCTTACCATAGTTGACCCCCAAATTTGGTTTTAAAACTATGGTAATAACAACTTTTATTCTTACATTGACTTAAGTCAACCTGGGTTAACCCTCTTGATTCGTGATTAAGGCCTTGCCTTGGGTTGATCCCCGATTCTAGTTTTAAAAATTTAATAATAATCACTTTTATTTTATAATGATCCTCTTGACTTATAATCTAGGCCTTATCTTGGGTTGAGCCTCAAGAAAAGTTTTAAAATTATGATAATAATTAATTTTGTCCTTATATTGACCCGGATCAACGATCAACCCTACTTGTGACATGAACCTTATCTTGGATCGACCCTTGAATCAAGTTTAAAATTATGATAATAACCACTTTAAAATTATGATAATACGCAGGTTAGCCCGTCTTATGACCCAAGTGACACAACCAAAAGATTAATGTCTTCTTTCAAGTGCGAGAGTATCAAAGTAATAAATAACTCGACAAGACTGGGGTCGAACCATAAGGAGATTAATTGTATAAATTATAAACAACAATAATAACAACAACAAAAATAATAATAAAAGACAGAAAAAGAAGAAAAAGTTGATGAGAACTTTAAGATGGAAGATCAAGATAAGGATTAAACAATGATAACATCAAATGTCAAGGTTAGAGGATCCACTAATGGTATTTCAAACAAGTATAGTATAAAATTTTATTATTCAATTGGAAATTACACAGAAAAGAGGTTCCAATTAGATTATGAAATTGTTAACATGATTACATTAGTTATCTTATTAGAATAATGTTAATACCTGTAAATATTGTCAGGCATTCATGATTATAACTTATGTTAACAACAAATCAAGTTCCTTTCATAGCACAGGTGTCGGTTATATCATACGGTTTATATTATAAAAGTGTCAAGTATTTGTTGTACCAAGTGTTATACAACATAAATCCAGATTAGTAGGCCTATATCTTACATTTTCATCTATAAAAAATAGACCTAAATCTGAAATTTACAACTCTAGATATTATTCAATTACCGAACAACGTTCTTATTTGGACTGCACCAACATCTCTTTTCTAAATTTGGCTATCTCTTTGTCCTTTCAATATCAGTACTTAAACTCATTGATCAATCCTTTTATTTATGTGATAGGCCTGCATTTAAGATGAACATTTACCATAAATTAAAAATATCTTATATTATTAGATATGTTATTATAAAATATATTTTAATTAAGGAGTTATTGATACTTAAAGTGCAAAATAATGATATAAAACCTTGATAACAATACACTTTTAAATACTAATCATCAAGTCTAGACTAGTAACCCGAGCTTTGCCCTGAATTGATCACAAGTTAGGTTTTAAAACTATAATAATAATCATTTTTATCATTACATTTCCTAATTTGACAATCTTGGAGTTGAGAGTATTTTATAAAGATATTTTAGAAATAAAAAAAATAATAAATATTATCTTTAGAGATATGTACTCTTTATACCTTTAGTTTTTAAAGTACAGAAATTCACTCCAAGATTATATCATAGATAGAATTATTTTTATGTCTCTGTCTCTTTAACCAAACACGTATTTGTTTCTATTATCTTCGTCCTTATTGTCCTAGTAACCAAACCCTATCTAAAAAGCTTTAAAAATATAATAAGAATAAAATGTTGAAAAGGTGAACAAACTTTTGACAAATTAAAATCAACATTTATTTAAATTAAACCACTAAGCATAGGTCAAAAAAAAGTAAAAAAAAAAATACAATAAATAAGATAAGATTATAAAATAAATAGTGTGGAGATGGAATGATAAAATACAATAATTTATTATGATTAGGTCATATCTGCATCTAGTCTCCAAGCTCTATTTGGGATTTAGAATTCACCAATCTCTTCTACTTATACAAGCGAGGAACAAGTCTTTTAAACCCACTTCTTCTTCTTTTTTTTTTTTTCTCAAGACCAACTCACTTGTTGTTGTGTGAAAATCAATCTTGTTATAAGCAAATGATAAAACCTTTTATAGCCGCTCTATCTAAGACTAAAAAACAACCTACTTATTATAGTGTTTCTTTTTATCTTTTACAAGTATAATAAAACTCAATACTCCCTTGAAAGAGTAGAAGATACAATTCAAGTACACTCAATACTAATGAATAATAATTGCGGGTTTAACTCTATTAAAATAATGCAAGAGATTTTATCTTTTATCTTGCTTTTCTTTCTATGCTACTTCTTAAAGTCCTCTGTTTTTATATCTTCAAAAGATAGCTATCAAATATATTTGTAGGTGCAATAAAAGACTAAAACTAGTAGTTGGATAAATAAATGATTATTCTTTGAAGAGAATTCTCTAAATGAGAAATTAGATGTTGTAAATAGTTATTTGGATAAAATTATCTAAATAAGGAATTAGCCATTGTAAAGAACCTTCAATTAATATAACAATAGCCATTTTAAAGAATTTATCAAAGTAAACAACTAGTTTTAAACTAGTTACCATAGCCAATTTTATGCTTCCTTAACTAGTTTTGGACTTCCTTAGCCAGTCCATGCATGAAAAGAACACGTAGCAGATTCTAGGATTTTATTTTGTTTTTAATTTTTACTTTGTTTAATTGGTTCTTCTTACATAGTTTCTTCATAAATTTTGTATAATCAAACTCCAAATATAAACAAGTTCTTAAACCCAACCTTCCACGTCACAAAACTTGAATTAATCAATTTTTATTTGACTAACAAGCTTGTTTATTTTATATGCTTGAATAATATATATTAACATCACAACACTTAAGCATAATATATTAGTGATACCAAGTATTTTTTTTTTATCATTTAAATCATAGCTATTGTGGTTGTAATCTCTCATGGCTAGCACAAGAATATAAGAAATATACAAAACAATAAGAAATATACAAAACAAATGTTGTGTTTATCAAGAATTATCCAATTAAAAAGTATGAAATTGAACATTACAATAGGATGCTACTATATATTTCCATCTAAACTCATATTAACAACAATCAAAATGTATAATGTTTTTATTTGATCAATAATTTAGTAATAGAATATTAGAGGAAAAAAACCATTGAAATTTTGTTGAAATTTGAAATATTGAACAAAAATAAAGGTAAAATTAACAAATTAATATGCAAAAAACATGTTAAAAATAAAAGAATAACAAGTATATAAACATATTCATCTAAACAATAACCCCGTAACACAAACTCAATGGCCAATCATTCTTTAATATTGTGTTTAGTTAGTGTTTATGGATAAAAGATACAAATACAAAAAGAAATTGAAACATGTTTGGTTAAAGGAGGAGGAAAAAAAATTCTACCACTATAAAAGTTTTAGGATGAATTATTATTTTTCAAAAATAGAACTTTCAAAATAGAATAAATATAAGAACATATCCCTTTTATCCCAAACTTTCTGTCTTTTCCATCCCAAAACATTAATTAAACTCTACATAATAATGAATTTATATTTAATTTAGAATAAAGATGACATGATGATGATTAAACCTTCATGTATGATCACACATCCATTATTTTTCAATATAATATTAAGATTATGAAGTTAATAACTCGAGCATTAATATGATACGAGGTTATCACTTTTGATTTGACGTTGAATGCGACCTTCAACTTCAGAAAGCTTGAATTAATTAATATGATATTAAGATTATAAAATTATAAACTACATGATCAAAGAAAATAGTGAAGCTATCACGTTTGATTTGACCTAATTAGAACAAATCTCCGTATGGTACAATTGGTAAGTATATCACAGTAAGATTGTAGTTCAATTAACAATTATCTTTGTAAGATCATTATACAATGCTTTAACAATAAATTATACATTCTTGTGTATTTTTATTTTTCTTGGGAACATCCATTTACTATTTTTATTTTAATATCAACCCTATATATATATTACATTTTTATCATTGCATATTCATTTTGTCAGTTGAATGTTACTAATGTTAAAAAATATTAAGGCATGAAAGCTTTTGCTCATATACACTTTAATCCCTAAAATTTTAGAAATACTTTTGGTCTTTATTCTTTATTTTTCTTATTAGGAAAGTTTTGTATCCTTATATTTTACAGAAAAAACAATTTTGTCCTTGAATGGTTTTTTTTCCAATTGTTCCTGCATGTCAAGTTGTGGACTTGGTCAAAATTAGTTAAAAAAAAATTAAATGGGTTGATAGCAAGGTAAGAGATAAGTGGATTTAAGTAGGTATGCCGCTTTAAAAATATGAATTTTATTTTCTATGATATTTAATTTTGTTTCCATTTATTTCCCTGATTTTAACCTTAAAAATTAAGACAAAACATAATAAAATAAGTTAAAATAATAGAAAAGGAAAAGGATATCATAATACAGATATGATATTATGAAGAAAATTATTGAAAAATAATATATCTATGATAATAAAAGAAAAAAACAAAATAAAAACATAAAAAAATTATGATACAAGTTTTATTTTCATTAATATGTATAAGCATTTAAATCCATCCCATTCTTACCTTTTCGGTCAAACCATATAAATAATTTGATTATTATTTGATTAAGTTAGCAACTTGACATATAGGGAGGATCGAAAGAACAAGCCATTTAGGGACCAAACTGAATTTGTTGTAAAGTATGAGCACCAAAAAATAAATATTAAAAAGATTCAGAGACCACGAATCGAAGGACGACAAGAATATGCATATACGGTTGATAATAAAATAATATACCTTTTTAAATACAAATTAAATATACAGGGACTTACTTAAACATTAACCCAATTAAAAAAAAAAAAAAAACCGAAGATTCAGTTTCAGAATTGAGGCCAAAAGGAAAGAAAAAGAAACGGCAAAAGAGGGCCACGGGTGGCGGTTTCGACTTTCGAGGGGTGGCAGTAACTGTGATTTTATGATAAATGAAACGCATATTCTCCACCACTCCGTACTATGATTGCCACCCGTTTTTGTCTTGCTGCATTTTAACTTTTCTCACCCTGTCCACTCCCTCTTACTGTGTCTGTGTCGTGGACTGAAACAAAACAAAACCTTGTAAAAAAAACCTCATCATGTCTTCTTAGTTAGATTAACAGTTATTCCTATCCTTTCACTTTCGTTGTTGTCGGTTACGAAGAGAAAGTAGAAACTGTCTGTGCAGCACAACGCACTCTCACGCTCTTTGATGATGGATCGAAAAACATTAAATTGAAGATGCTTTCACCACCCAACAACATCTAAAGATCGAGCTCATGGATATTGCTTTTTGTTAATTTTGATTCTCGTGAAATAAACGAAATATGAAGGCACTCGTTATTCCTCCTGTAAGTACTGATCCCTGATCTCTCTTATGGTTTTTAAGAAGAAGAAAACATCGTGGTATGTATTATTGAGGGCCAGGGGTCATGGATAGTACTGCTGGATTTAATAAGGCATCATGATGATGGATGAATATCTTGATTCTTCAAGCTTTTCCCTCTTACCAAAAGCTTTCCTTTTCTTTTCCTTTCCTGCCATAATCAAAGAAAGCAAGGAAAGAAGTAAAACAATCATCATCATCACCATGAATTTGTAGCTCAAAAACTCGTTTCAGGGAAATGAGAAGTAACTTGGCTTGCCTTTGACAATCAAGAGAGGCGACATAATGTAACTTATGGAGCACTCCCTTTGCGGGATCTTAAATAATGGCTTTCTGTACCATATTTTTATGCATGTATATAAATAAAGACATATCGCTTTACAATTACATGCATGTATGCGTGGTGTGTAGTGAACTCGTTGTTCTTTAATGACTTTGTTATTATTTGTTTGTTTGTTATATATATGTACATATCTTTTCAGGTATCCCTGCCTTCGGATTCGAAGAGTAGGAGATCACATTGGTGTAGCGTTTTTCCTGCTGCTTCTTTTCTTTTTCTTATTTTCTTTGCAGTATATGCTTTCATAGCTCCAGATTACAAAGAGGTAATCAGTTTAGTACTGCCCACATTGAATTTTCAATATTTCTTCAAGTTAGCCATTGCTTGTTACCATCGTTCTGCGTCAAAATGGATCCTTAATTTGTAATCCAACTGCTTCTCATTCTCTTGTTTTATGGTCTTTTTTCTACCTAAAAGACAAGTATTAACTTTGTTGGATGCTTATGAGTCTGTCCTGCAGAGATTATCAAGATGGGGAATAGCTGATACTTTTCAGAATTTTAAATTCAGCAATTGCAAGGTTGTGCATTTTATTTTTTCCCTGCAAGTTTAGTTGTTAAGATAATTTTCCTTCAAAAATAGTTGATGGGTTTTGTTTCTTACACGGTTCTTTATGTTTCAGAATCAGTGCAGGCCTCCTGGAAGTGAGTCCTTACCTGAAGGGATTGTCTCAAAGACTTCTAACTTTCAAATGAGGCCGCTATGGGGCTTTCCAAAGGTAAACGTTTATGAGCTCCATGACGGAGTGACTGATCATTCATTTCTTAGAAAGTCAATTCTTGTGACTGATCATTAATTACTGTCACCATTTAATCTCATCTCAACAAGTTTTCAAGATGGACATTTACATGCGACTGCATTAACTCTGCCATGGGTTTGCCAACATTGGTTGCACGAATGTTGAAAAGTTTAATGTGTTTCCATATGTTTGTTTAGGGACTGTGACATAATCTTCCTAGAATTGCAACTTTCTAAAACCTTCATGCTGTAATTTAACTTCTATAACGAATGAACTTTATAAAATAAATGTTTCAGATGTGGCTCTTAGATCTGGAGACTTCTTAGCGTGTTTTCTTCTAATTCTCTAGCTTACTAGCTGTGAAGCTCAACCACAGATGATTATTTGACTGTTAAATGCGACTTATTACATGTATAAGTACTATCACTGATACACTTTTTGGTTGAACAAGAATACGTGCTTCTCCATTTCGCTGGAAATGGAAGATGGGGATATTTGGCATACTAAAATGTTTGCTTAATGGAAACA